CTACGGACATAAGGATGGCGGTCATAGTAAAATGTGTATCTAAGTTCTCCTGCTTAAAAGATATTTTGGTTACCGGTACTTTAACGGAAGTTCATATAAAGTATCTGGAGCTTATTTCCGCTATACTTAGTCCTGAGTCCTGATCCAGATTCAGAACAAGGACACATGGGGCAATGCCAAGTATTTAGATCTTCTTCTATACAACTTAAAGGATTAATGCATGATGTCATATTACCATTATATTTATACTATAGAGTTACTGAGGTCGTTTATGATGGTGATGGTTTTCAAAAAAAAAGACCAATTAATCACTGTACCTAGGCCTATGTATAATTATCATGTGTTCGCAGCGATTAAGGCGTTGGACTTTCAATGGGAAGGTAGGGGGTTCGAGACCGATGCTCGTCACACTGCTTGTGCCCTAGCCAAGACATTTTATCTGCATTTTGCCTCTCTTTAGCCAAGAGTACAAATAGACACCTGGTAGGAGGGTGATTAGGAATTAGTAGTGCTGATTACACGCATAAACTAGGAATATACACACCACACTACCACCCCCAAACCCCTCTGTGAGCGGAGAAATTTGCGTATAATTAAATGTTGTGTATCATTGATTTTGTCTCTAATGACCAGGGCAAAAAGAGCTGCGAGACTCCCGTAAGAAGAGCGCTATATAGGGCCTGCTAAAATAACATAAAAACATTATATGGAGAGAACGTTGGTGGTGTCCATCAAAAATAGTTGGGATAACAATTATGGTTCCTTAAAAGGGGTGTCCTCTATTTTAGAGTTGGCTGTTCGTGGTCGAAAAAGTGTTATAAAGGAGGGGTTTTGTTGACAGAATGCTGTTGCTGTTAGAATGTATCGGTCTTGTTTGGGCCACTTCTGAGCTACAGAGGGCGTGCTGTTAATTTTCTTTTAAATAGTTTTATAAAATCCCGAAATCATTAGGAAGCAAAAAATGTTAATGGTCTTCCATTTATATAGTGTAGCGCATACTACAGAGTAATGTCTCCATGCGTTCTCAAAACCAGTGTCAAGACAAAAAAAAAAGGAAAAATAAAAGAAAAAAACAAGCGCAAAAGAGGTTAGAATTGTGAGAAAAGATCCCGATTTAAGCCGGGATTTAAAAAGGGCCGAAGATGAAAATGACCTTATGAAATTAACATAGCGCCCTCAATACACTATGGCTATATGAAACTTTGAGGACTCGAGGGAAGCTCACCTACTGCAGCTGACTAAACATGACTGAAACTTTGGAAGAAAAAAGTTGTCGAATGAGTTGGTACACGCTTGTGAGAAAAAATTCAGTGCAGTTATTCTATATACCTTTACCGTTATAGAACGGTATTTCCTTATCTATCAGACGTATAGATGCTGTTCAGCTTGTCGGTGATCACATCATTGTCAGATTATCACTTGAAACCCATTAATTTCCAAGCCATTAGACAACATTTGTGAAGTATACAGGCTTTTGTTTAATCAGTTGTGTTTGTTTAAGTGGTTTATTGGCCATTGTGATGCTTTGGAATAAGCCTGCTATCTTTCCGATATAATGGAGAAGTAAATATAAGCCCCAGACTGATCATCCCGATTGCGGCTATTCCACATCCCCCTAGTGGTTCCCCGAACCATGGAACATATTCGTTTCTTAACCGATAATTGTCACGTGACCACAGTGATTTCTCAAAATGCCCTGTCGCAGACTATCAAATTATCGAAATCATGTAACATGCCAATCACGTCATGACCATATATAGCCACATCATTACTATACATGGGCATTGTCAAATACAATTTGATAGTCTGGACAGGGCTTAACATTGGGACCGAATTTATTTTTAATCAATATTTTCCGCCATGGTCTCATGGTGATTTCCTTAACCATGGAACCTAATTTTCCGTGCCCAAACCAATATTGAGGCCACAATTTTAAGCCGAATGCACGCTGCAACGGCGGTCTTCTACCGACGGGGGGCTGACAATATTGTTTTAATACCATAAAATCTGTAATAGAAGCCCAATGGCCTTAATCTCGAGAAGAAGCCCATCTCGAATTGCAGCACCCCATTTTAGTTTGCAAAAGTAATGAAGCCCATCTCTAAAAGAAGTACACGGGGTTCCTTTCAAGATAGATGGGCTTTTTTCGAGATAGTGCAGTATACATACACAGTATATGAATTTGAAAGCAACAAAATAAATTTCAAACACGCTTGGTATATACAGTAGTTTAGGTGATTTAATACCGGTAATACACTCCATGATACAGATTGATGTTACAGTGGACCTATTTATTTTTTTTATAATAGTAATTCCCAAATTTACAGCATTCATTATGAAAAGAATCCCCCCTCTTTACTTTGCAAAAGTAGCCTCAAAAAGAAGTCCATCCGAAGTTGGATCGTCGAAGTCGAAAAAAAAAAAAAAAAAAGAAAGAAAGAAAGAAAAAAAATGCCCATGGTTTCATTTCGCGGTTTTTATCCCTACCATGGAACCTCCATATCCATTCTATAAAAAGATCATAATTCGGTTTGAGAGTGATTTTCCGTCATCATGGAGATTGTTTTCGTCGTAAACAATTTCGATCACTTTAAATAGTATTAATCGGATAAAGAGATCTATTCTACCTCGGTTCATCTTTTCTTTCGTAGAAGCACAGACCCTATAGGTATACAGTATAGGGTTTGTGGAGAAGCAAACAAAACAAGTGATATCTCATTGCCACTCCGCGGTGACATTCATAATTCCTTTGATAATACAGCCGACACAGGTGTCGGAGTTCTTAGTTCAACATTTATCATTTTTTAATTTTATCTACTGATGTTTGTCATCTCTTTCCATTATTGTCAATGCTCTAAACCAAATACGAAAACCAGTTATTTCAATTATTATCAAGGGTTATTGGTGTTTCGTGTAAACATTCAATATCAGTGCAATGTAGATATGAATGCATATTTCAAGCTTCCACGTTTTTAAATTCTAAACTTTTTAAAATGTAGCCTATGTAACATGTTTCCTGGTCGTAGGCAGTCAAATCAATCCAATACAATCAATTTCAAACAAGACGGTGACGTCTGGAGTCAAAATCTTAGGAGTGTAAATCAGTGTGAAAAACTTCTGTAAATGAAGTTACCTCCGTCGTAAAAGCTATTAGGCCCTATAAAAAAAAATTATCCTATAATAAAAAAAAAATTGGGGGGGGGGAGAAGTTTTTTTTTTTTTTTTTTTTTTTTTTTTTTTGCTAACCCCGCGCCCATTTTACCGATGTTCACAAGTAGATCAATGGTTAGGGACATATAAAAGTCATAAGAATGGAATCAAATTTATATTTAAAAAAGATGTTTTTGTTGTACCAGTAAACATATTTGCAAGAAATCCAGATTTTTTTACAAGTGAAAAAGATGGAAAAAGGACCGTTTGAAATAAAAATATAATTATGTTGATTGAAAAAAAAAAAAAAAAAATCAGATTTTCCCCAAACGTGATGAGGGAGCGGGTGATAAACTAATAATTTTTTTTTTATGGGGCCTTATTGTGGAAACATTCAATTTGTTATAAAATATAACACAGTACTGCATACATTATTTTACATAATTGACTGACACAATAATTACATTATTAAAAAAGTGCACATTGGACAAATCAATTAAATTCGAGCTAAGTGCAGAACGTGACGACACACAGGTTGTGATGAGAACATGCGCGTTCATTGAAACTGCAACCACCAACGCAGACTAGTTGTAACACGTTTCCTCTGGGTTCAATAATTGGCTAAATATTTGCCATCCAAATATGATAAATAGGTTAGCTCGGTCTTTTTGAGATAATCGTAACATTTCGATATACATTATCAATTAACGATATCACAGGAAACAGACTAATTTTGATAACCTAGCCCCCTCAGGTGATTAATCATCTAGGGATCGAACAGGAAACTTTCAATGTTGTAGTAAGGGTCAAAGCACGCGTATGACTAATTTATTTTGTTATATAAGGATGTATTAAATGTAGATATTTGAAAATAACACTAGAGAAAAATGTAAGACAAATAATAAGAAACACATTTCAAGAATGCAGAGTAAGATGGTTAGATTGGATTGAATTTTTTTTCGGTGTAAACACCGAGGATAGCCCACGAAAGTCTAAAAGAAGACTTATTTCCAGTGGGGTCCTTCTGGTGGTGATTTGACAGTACACCGGAAGACAATCCCCTACTCTTTTCTGAAGAGTATACTGCGTTCTTTAACCTGCACATGGGTTATAAATGCACACGGGATCAACGGCTTAAACATCTCATCCGAAAGGCGGTGCGCTAATGTAACTTGTATTTCAGCCCTCCAGGTGGAGAGGCAGCGATGGGAATTGAACTGGGGACCTAGAGATCTCCACGGTTCAGCGCACACACAGTGCTATCACCAGATTATCCGACTGAGCTAAGCTGCTCTCGTCATGGTATGGGCACGTGAAGATACGAGAGAAGAATGATATCAGATGTGATAGAAGAAAGAATTATAACTGGTATATAAGACCTAGAGGGAGGCCGATACAGAGATGGATGGGACTGAGTTAAGCAATATAGGAGACAAAGAGTAGATCGCGTAAGTTGGAAGACGATAATGACAACATTTCACCCCCCCCCCCCAAAAAAAGGATGATGATGATGATGAAGACGATGATGATTACGATGACGATGATGATGATGAAGATTATAATGATGATGATGATGAGTATAATATTCTTCTCAAACTTGTCTCAAAATGAATGAGATGCAGTGTTTCGTAGATAAAGAAAAAGACGCTATAAATTCTCATTCAAATAGCTTATAACATAGCAAAACATAACATAACAAAACAATAACTTAACATTACAAACATAATTTGTATTTAATAGTGCACTTCACTGCGTATTATAATCCGATGCCGTGTGCAAATAGGTATGCATTAAGTGGAGCACGTTATAGTGCTGGTACAAGTTGATAAACCCTCATTGTGAAAGATTGAAAGCAATTAAACTATTGATCATACACAAACTGAAAGAGACCTATTAAGGTAAATACCATAAAACCATTTTTAAAAATTCAATCAAGGGCCCTACAACACCAATTGGTATTTACTTAGTAATCAGTCACGAAACAACCCGTGAACAGATAAGTTAAAATTGAAGAATGATCGTTATTGCCGCTATTCAATCCATTATCTGCCCAAAGATCTATTGACATTAAAATTGATTTAAGTGTTACCGTGATAGTTTTCTTCTTTAGCCATAATCGTTGTACTTTGTACCTAATAGATCATATTAGTTTGCCTATTTAAATAAATCATAGTATTGAAGAACATTTGAACTATTATCGCTACCTGTACCAACGTACACCTATTTTACATGATTTATATTCCAGATATTACATGAAACGTAAAGAAAGTGATCATTACGGTACTATAATAGGTAACACTTGTTAATTATTTGTAGTTGTTCATTTGTTTATAAAATATTTTTTATAAAAAGAATTAGTTTTTATTTTATTTAAAATTAATATTAGGCATATTGATCATACACATGGTAAACTTATCGTAACTGCGATTTACCTTTCTTTAAAAATCTTTTAATATGTACCGAGATTTTTCATGTAGGCCTACTACTGTGTGATTTGTTTAGTATTTGATTTTGATATAGAATGCCAACAACGAACTAATGTCTTGTACATTTGCTTTTAGAACACAAACATAGTTATGTATGTATATGTGTGAATGACCGTAACTGCTGCAGCGATTGTCTACAAAATCGTTCCCATAATGCCTAAATGATCAGACTATCAAAGTATCAATTTGTGTCCGTCTTGTTTGATGATACACAATCTGATACTACATGTTTAATTAAGCCGATTGCCCTGGTCTGTAACAGCGCTCCAACGCCTAGGATCTATGACTGTGTCTACGTAGTGATTAATCGGCCGACGACGTTCCAAATTTACCCGATGTAATTCGTCTAAAGAAATGCATGATCAACTTGAATGTAAGTTTTACCGACTTTTATATTCACGTACCAAAATAAAATCCTTCTGGTTTTACTCCAAAGTAGTGCAAATACAGTAGTCCTGGGGCGGATGCAGGGGTGAGCAGACTGTACCCAACTAAATTGTATTAAGAAAAATAATTGTTGTAATGTATTGTTGATATATTATTTTCATCATTATGAACATAGTACCGGTAGGATTCTTTAAGTATTAGAGTGCAATTTCCAGGCAAATAGAGGTCCATATATTCTCAAAATTTCAGTTGGTGCGGACTCTCACGCACCCCCTACCGCCAAACGCTGTGCATCCACCCAAACAGTGAGTATGTTATATGCCTGTCTCTTCCTGATTTTCCTGGTTTTGTGCAGTGTTGCAACAAAAACAAAATATAGGCCTATACTTTGATTTATTCGGTTGTTTATCAGTTTGTTTTTTTTTCGCTAAAGATAACAGGTAAATGGAAATAGGCCCTAGAACCAAAAAAAAAAAAAAAATTAAAAAAAAAATTATTCCTCTGATATTTCTAGACATGTGTATGAGTCTGTATGGCGCATTTAAAACTTCCGTAAGAAATTTGTTTTCAGCATGTGCTATTAAAATAAATAATAACGTTCGAACGGCACGCTCGCCTATGGTTCGGAGGTGGAATAAGCCTTCAGGAAAACGACTATAAACCGTATAGGCCCAGTGTCCACAACTGGCTTATGTGTATTTTATTATCATCAGTATCCTGTTTCGATGTGTAAGGTTTTATTGGTTAACACGGGTAATCTAGACTTAGATGCTCCAATAGGCCTGAAGCAGTAGCGTTTAAAGACACATTGTAATCGAGCGGTAATGGTGAAAATAATGTATTTAAACAATACGATATTTACTTAGGCTTACGCAAGCCTCGTCTTATTTTGTCCTATATCTCTAAACCCGTTTATTGGCTCAATAATTGTCTGTCTGCTGACAAGTAATTCTATTTCAAATGAACTAATCAAGAAAACATTAAAAATTAATGGTGTACGTAATCATATTTATATTACTTGCCTAATTTACATACGCTTTACAACCTGATGTTCTGTCGTTGCCAGGAAAAGGACGCTAGTTCAGTTGCCAAGCCTAAACAGCTCCTGGTAACAGGCAATTTTGAGTGTGCACTCAATCAACGAATGTGCCTTTACTATGAAGCGAACAGCAAGTGTTATCAGTAAGCCCAACAGCATTGGAGAAACAAGAACCAAATCGGCTAGACACACAACTTTCGACCACAATGGTGAGTTTCTTGTGTATACCAATCATAAAACGTAGCTTTATACAAAAATTGTGCGTTTATAAGTAATTGGCCTATACTGTTCATTCAAGCATTCACACTCTCAAGAATTTAGTATGGTCCTTACTATGTTATACAATGTCGTAATTTATTTATATGCATACTGTACGTACTATAGAACACTGCAGATATTTATAGGCCTACTATACAGCAGTGATATTCACAGGCCTATTATACAACTTTGGTATTTATGCTGTAGGCCTAATACAACTCTATAGATGTTTATTGTGGCTACTAAACAACCTTGAAGATATTCATAGGCTTCTTATCTATACTTTACAACGTTGATATTTAGGCCCTTTCTAAGCAACGTTTTATTTGTTTGTAGGCCTGCTATAAAACTGTCTCTTAACTGTCTCTTATACACATCTAGATGTGTATAAGAGACAGTATATATATAATGCGGTACATACCGTAGTGATTAATAGAAATTAAGTTAATATTCTAAAAAAAAATTGTTTAATGTATGACTCATCTTTCAGCGAGCCCTTATTTAGGGCCTCAAAGTGCTGGAGAACAGAGCAGTGGCACTGGTTCCTTCTGCTGTCTTCTCTTTGTATCTGTGGTTGTTTCCCTTTGTTAATTTTAGGATATTTCTTGATTTTTAAAAAAAATTTTTCTTCTTTCAAGACCTTGCGTTTCAAGTGCAAATACACTGTCCATAATATGCGCTTTATAAATACACAGCCATTACCAATTATAATGTGATTCTGTTTAATGTTTATATATCAAGGAAATAAGGTTAAGAAATCTATTGATGACGAAAATTCAAAAGCTGAGCAAGATACCGAAACAACGACCAGAGTTACCAATAAACCCCCAAAGAAAACAGTTTCACAAATTATCAAAGACAAGAAAAAGCAACAAACACTGACAATTCAATGGTACGTAGTTTTTCGTGTATATACTTTAATGGGTGTGTACTCTTTTCATTGATAGCCAGGGGCGGATTTAGGGGCGGGGAGCTTGGCCGGCCCTGCCTCCCACCCTTTTGGAAAGTAAAAAGAAAAAGAAAAAAGAAAGAAAGGAAAAAGAAAAAATTGATCGCCTAAAACGCCTCAGAGGTTATTTTTGTGCGTCAAGAGTGGTGTTATCTCGATCGGCCCACTTTCGGCCCCTTTTCGCCCATCCCCCCTCCCCTCCTTTTCGGACATCTCTGGATCTGCCCCTGATAGTGGTGGTAGCCTAACTTGTATTCAGACATTTAGCTGATACGGAAACGTAAGAGAGAGCAAAGTGATGACAGGCCTAAACTGATTCAGCAGATATTGTAGATTCGGTCCGGGGAGTTTAAGAGAAAGTGGAACCCTACTTAGCAGCACTACAAAAAAATAGAAAACCATAACAGTTAGTTCCAGTGGTGGTTTAGCTCAGTTTGCAGTGCATGAACATCAGGCCTACTTCAAATGCCACTATACTCTATATATTCCAACATCATTCCATATTTTCTTCGGCCTAGTTTCTTGACTATATTCTCAGCACAAATGGTAGCTATTACCAGTTGAGAATCCTTATTGTTAATTATGTTGTTAATATCTACATGTCTATGTGAATACAATAATTGTTCAAAGTGTAATTGTATTTCCTTGGTTCAAATTAGAAATTGTTGAATAAAATCACATAAAGTTATTTCTATTATGAATTTGTAGGTTGGAAGAGAACTATTGTATATGTGAGGGAGTATGTTTGCCTCGCTGTATTCTATATTCTCATTATCTTGATTTCTGTGAGAAAGAACACCTAGAGCCTGCGTGTGCTGCTACATTTGGGAAGGCAAGTTTACAAAGAAAGAGTTCGATACACATATATGTTATTTATAAAACTTGCTTATATACATTGTCACACATAGATTATATACATACATAGGCCTACATTGTAGAATTTATATGGCACTGTTGCACGAAGATTACTATTGTTATATTTTTACTAATATACTTTAACAATATTTTCATTTGTATATATACATTATATATACTATAGGCATACATTGTGTCTTGTTATGTCTATATAAATAGTGTATAATATATATATATATACATATATATATATATATATAGTTTTAGTTTAAATGTATTCAGTATTTGAATGGCAGCTGAATTGGTGCTGAATTACATCAGATTTACTATTAAAATTTCTTGCACTAAAAAGATCAAACAATAAAAATCTATACAATTAAAAGTACACTTCTGATTAAAATTGTCGGGTACGAAGTTGTTAATAATACTGAAATATATATATATATATATAT